GGGCCGCGGCCTGTCAGGACCGTCCCTCATCGCCGCTGCTCTCCCCTCCAGGCTTTCACCGAGCTGCAGGCCAAGGTGATAGACACACAGCAGAAGGTAAAGCTGGCTGACATCCAGATCGAGCAGCTGAGCAAGACGAAGAAGCACGCTCACCTCACCGACACGGAGGTCATGATGCTGGTGGATGAGACCCGCATGTACGAAGGCGTGGGGAGGATGTGAGTACCTGCCTGGCCTTTGGTGGATGGCGGGGGCTTCCTTACTGTACCGAGAGCGGCTGGCTGGCTCCCTGCTTGGGCGTACCTGGCTGCTGTAGCAAAGTGGGGTGGTGATTGCGGCCCTGTGCAGAGGGAGACCCTCCCAGCCTTCGTGTGTATGAGGCCTCTAGGCTGCTGCCCTGGGCAGGAGGCTCTTCCCTTTACAAACAACACTCCAGCTTTCTGTCAGCGTGTTCATTTGTTTCATTTTTGTCATTGTCTTTCCTTTCATTTTTGTCATTGTCTTTCCTTTCATTTTTGTCATTGTCTTTCCTTTCATTTTTGTCATTGTCTTTCCTTTCATTTTTGTCATTGTCTTTCCTTTCATTTTTGTCATTGTCTTTCCTTTTTCATTCCGGCTGCCTTGAGGAAGAACTGTTATAAATATCTTGGCTTTTGCTTGCTGGCTTTGCTCCTGACCGTGATGGTCTCATCTGGCACCTCTGGGAAGTTTGTAATCTAGGCTAGCAGAACAGCATGCTAATGACAAACAGCATTTGTGAGAAGGCTCTCACAAATCTGTCCAGCTTCAGTCATTTCCAGTGTAGTTTGCACCAGACTTCTTGAAAAGCCACTGTGCACAGTTCACGTGCTTGCAGAAATGTATTCTACAGAAATGCCCTTTGCAGTATCATGCCAGGGAATGGATCTACAGGGTGTTGCCTGCATATTTTTTTTTTTTCTCAAACCCTTGGAAGTGTGCATAAAGGTCACATGGGTAGTCCCAGTGAACTCCTAAAGATGTGCTTCCATGTGTGGATGGCTGTCAAAAGAAACACGTTAAACCAGAAGTAACGCATTTTGATTAACTTCCACAATGTTTGACTTCAGCAGCCTCTGACAGAAGACCATACAAAGTAATTTCAAATCTGAAACACATGCTTACTTAATATTTATCACACTAGATTTCTGTTTCTGCTTTGAGAGTACTGTAACTTTTCTCTTACGTCTTTTGTGAGTTGGGTAACAGTAATGGCTCTGCTCAGCTTGGTATGTGGTGTTGGGAAATCTGCTCTGACTGCTGCCAAAAGGGGTGATTGTATTGAACTCTTCCTCATCCTGTGTTTACCCTACCTTCTTTGTGTTGAAGTGGGTGATCGCAGAGCCGAGCGGTGAGCCAGGTCAGACTACAAGTGCCCTGGTCATCAGACCCTGCAATCTCCAGATCAAGTTGTAGGGAGGTGGCAGGACTGGGAAGCCAGGAGTGGTGTGTAGCTTGCCCTTTACTGCGAGTTTTCAGATGAAGTTGTACCCAAGCTGATGGAGGTATTCAGCGTGACAGAATCCCCTTCTTGGCTCCCAGTAAATAAACTTTCCCATGTAGGTGAATTAAATGTTGGGTTTGTGTGGGGATGCTAGTAACCGGTACCTTAAAAGGAGATAGATTTTTGTCCCTTGAAAGAGGCAACTGATTTGACCTGGGCAGGCTGTAGGCACAGCAAACACTCGTGGTTTGAGTAGTCATGAGACGACGCAGAAGGGTTTTTTTTTCTATTTGGCTTGTCACCGAGCAGACAGACGAAGAATAGAAGATAATTCTGGAGTCAACAATTTTTATAAAGCTTTTTTTAAAATCCAAATGTACAGAATACTTCTCCTATATGAGAATTCCCTCAAGATACCTTAAAAAAGTGAGTGTGTTGGTCTTTATCGTAAAGTAATCCTGCTTATGAATCCAGTGTGGGTAGCAGATGGTGTTTCAATGCTGGCTGAAATGTCCTGCTTTCTGCTTGTGCCTCCCACTTAGGAGTAAGAGATGCTTACCTTCTTTGTGTCCTAAACCTTTCTTTGTGTGCAGCAGCTACAGGAGTGACAGTCTTCTGGGAAGTCTTCTTTTGCTTACCTTTCGATGACCAGACAGGGTGGCTTAGGCAGGGCAGGCAGCTCTCACTCCTCAGGGATGGCAGAGGCGCCATCAGAAAAATATTTGCATTATGATAGCATTTAAAAGCTGAACTCTTTCTGGGCTTTGTTGTACTAGTTGCTATGCAAATATAGATTGAGAGTGCTCTTCTGCTGAATACTACTCATTGACTCTCTTTTTTTTTCCTTTCTGTCTGTCTTTTTTTTTTTTTTTCCTCCTCCTTTTTAGCTTGATAGCTATTTCTGTGAGCTCTGGCTGTGGGGCTGAAGGCTCCCTTGCCAATTGGCAGTAGTGCTCTGGTATGATCTGTGCCACTCCCTAGAACATGCACCAAGGACACGAGGCTCTTCCTGGAGCCCACTCCAGCCCCTAGTAGAGAATTCATTGCTGAGATCTGGGTTTTTAGCAAAGCAGGCTAAAGCAGCCCTTGAGCAGGAGTTAAAATCCAAGGGCAGTCTGGCATCTTGTGTTCCACTGGAGACCAAAGGAGGTAGCCATTATGGTTCTTCCAGACATATAAGCATGTTCTGTGAAGTGGATTTGCAGATTTTTTTAATTTGTTGGCTTCACTGGCTTGCACAGATGTGGGAGTTCAGCCACCAAAGGGGTGTTTGTGATGTCTCAATTTCTTTTGCATAGTCTAGCATGCAAATGTTAGAATTTTGGTGGGTTTCAGTTATCCAGGAAAGGTGGAGGTCTGCATCAGTGTTAACTCTGATTATTGGTGCTCCTTTGACAGCTTGTTTGAATTGCTAAATTCTTTGAAATAAGTTTTGTGCTTCTATTCCTGTGCTCAACTTTTTTTTTAATTTATTTTTTTATTTTCTTCTTTATCCCATTTAAGCTGCTACTTAGAATCTGGCTTCTGATAGAGTTTCTCTTTTTTTTTCCTTCAGCTTTGGTGGTTTGGGGTGTGTGCAGGGAGCTAGTACATACACTTCTGTAGAATAAGATACTTCAGATCTTCATGGAATTTGATGGCTTGAGGAACTGTGGTGAAGTGCTGCATCCTGGGAGGAAGTCTGCCTAGTTCAGTACTCGCTTCTGCACTTCTTGGAAAGCAGTTGTGTGGTTTTTGTTCTCTGAACCTCTGTCTTGAGCCTCCTTCCTTTCCCAGAGGCTTTCCCTGCACTACTGGTGAATGTGAAAGTCCATTTGTGGTTCCTCAACTGTTTTTTTTTGTTTTGTTTTTAATTTCGTAGTGTGTATAACATGTGGAGGCCTTACTGGCCTCCACATGTGGAGCTCAGTTTACTTTTGTTATAGCTATTTTTGGTTTGACACAAGAAATGTCAGTGCCACATAGTATGAGATGATGAATTGCTGTGTACTGTACATATCCATGAGGCTGGGATATCATCTGAGTGGTGGCATCTTGCCAAATACATTTCAATTCTGTTACTTCATACTCTTTTGAAAGGCCTGTTACGTAGCCTGAGACAACTACCACTATCCTGGACTTCTGCTTAAGCTATTTGTGATCTGATACCATCACATTGCTTTGAGAACTATGCTGAAAGTTTAAGCTTCAGAATTCTGTCTGAATATTTCAGACCTTTCCCTTTACATTCTTTTAACCCATAACCTTGACAAGATCCTTATTTACAGAAGAAAAATGTCTGGCACTTATGCTAGGCACAGTGAGGAGAGCACTACGGTTTTTCATGCTATGCCAAAATAGAGAGTCAGTCAGTTTTGGTTTAAAATTGCTTTGTTGTCAGTTTACTTCTACAACAGATGGGAGAATGCTTGCAAAAATAAAATATAAGAAAGTAAAAATCAAGCAAATACTGTTGCACAACTTTATGTTCAAGGTTTTGTGCAAGTACAGTATATTATTATAGCTGTACCTATAAAATGACTTATTATTTTATACTATAATACAGTATTTTATGGGGACGGCTGAAATAATATGATATTGACTTTTTTTTTAAGAGC